GGAGGTGAGTGTTACCTGCAGTAACAGCTGGGAGGTGAGTGTTACCTGCAGTAATTGCTAGGATGGGAGTGTTACCTGCAGTAACTGCTGAGAGGTGAGTGTTACCTGCAGTAACTGCTGAGAGGTGAGTGTTACCTGCAGTAATTGCGGGGAGGTGTGTGTTACCTGTAGTAATTGCTAGGATGGAAGTGTTACCTGCAGTAACTGCTGGGAAGTGAGTGTTGCCTGCAGTAACTGCTGGGAGGTGAGTGTTACCTGCAGTAACTGCTGGGAGGTGAGTGTTACCTGCAGTAACTGCTGGGAGGTGAGTGTTACCTGCAGTAACTGCTGGAAGGTGAGTGTTACCTGCAGTAACTGCTGGGAGGTTAGTGTTACCTGCAATAACTGCTGGGAGGTGAGTGTTACCTGCAGTAACTGCTGGAAGGTGAGTGTTACCTGCAGTAACTGCTGGGAAGTGAGTGTTACCTGCAGTAATTGCTGGAAGGTGAGTGTTACCTGCAGTAACTGCTGGGAGGTGAGTGTTACCTGCAGTAACTGCTGGGAGGTGAGTGTTACCTACAGTAACTGCTGGGAGGCGAGTGTTTCCTGCAGTAACTGCTGGGAGTTGATTGTTACCTGCAGTAACTGCTGGGAGGTGAGTGTTACCTGCAGTAATTGCTGGAAGGTGATGTTACCTGCAGTAATGCTGGGAGGTGAGTGTTACCTGCAGTAACTGCTGGGAGGTGAGTGTTACCTGCAGTAACTGCTGGGAGGTGAGTGTTACCTGCAGTAACTGCTGGGAGGTTAGTGCTACCTGCAGTAACTGCTGGGAGGTGAGTGCTACCTGCAGTAACTGCTGGGAGGTTAGTGCTACCTGCAGTAATGCTGGGAGGTTAGTGTTACCTGCAGTAACTGTGGGAGGTTAGTGTTACCTGCAGTAACTGCTGGGAGGTGAGTGTTACCTGCAGTAACTGCTGGGAGGTTAGTGCTACCTGCAGTAAACTGCTGGGAGGTTAGTGTTACCTGCAGTAACTGCTGGGAGGTTAGTGCTACCTGCAGTAAACTGTGGGAGGTGAGTGTTACCTGCAGTAACTGCTGGGAGGTTAGTGCTACTGCAGTAATGCTGGGAGGTTAGTGTTACCTGCAGTAACTGCTGGGAGGTTAGTGTTACCTGCAGTAACTGCTGGGAGGTGAGTGTTACTGCAGTAACTGCTGGGAGGTTAGTGCTACTGCAGTAACTGCTGGGAGGTTAGTGTTACCTGCAGTAACTGTGGGAGGTTAGGTTACCTGCAGTAACTGCTGGGAGGTGAGTGTTACCTGCAGAAAACTGCTGGGGGTGAGTGTTACCTGCAGTAACTGCTGGGAGGTGAGTGTTACCTGCAGTAACTGCTGGGAGGTGAGTGTTACCTGCAGTAATGCTGGAAGGTGAGTGTTACCTGCAGTAATTGCTGGAGGTGAGTGTTACCTGCAGTAAACTGCTGGGAGGTTAGTGTTACCTGCAGTAACTGGTGGGAGGTGAGTGTTACCTGCAGTAACTGCTGGAAGGTGAGTGTTACCTGCAGTAACTGCTGGGAGGTGAGTGTTACCTGCAGTAATTGCTGGGAGGTGAGTGTTACTGCAGTAATTGCTGGAGGTGAGTGTTACCTGCAGTAACTGCTGGGAGGTTAGTGTTACTGCAGTAACTGGTGGGAGGTGAGTGTTACCTGCAGTAACTGTGGAAGGGAGTGTTACCTGCAGTAACTGCTGGGAGGTGAGTGTTACCGCAGTAACTGCTGGGAGGTGAGTGTTACTGCAGTAATTGCTGGAAGGTGAGTGTTACCTGCAGTAACTGTGGGAGGTGAGTGTTACCTGCAGTAAACTGTGGGAGGTGAGTGTTACCTGCAGTAACTGCTGGGAGGCGAGTGTTTCCTGCAGTAATTGCTGGAAGGTGAGTGTTACCTGCAGTAATTGCTGGAAGGTGGGTTACCTGCAGTAACTGCTGGAGGTGAGTGTTACCTGCAGTAACTGCTGGGGGGGTGAGTGTTACCTGCAGTAAACTGCTGGAAGTGAGTGTTACCTGCAGTAACTGCTGGAGGTGAGTGTTACCTGCAGTAACTGCTGGGAGGTGAGTGTTACCTGCAGTAATTGCTGGGAGGTGAGTGTTACCTGCAGTAATTGCTGGGAGTGAGTGTTACCTGCAGTAATTGCTGGGGGTGAGTGTTACTGCAGTAATGCTAAAGGTGAGTGTTACCTGCAGTAAACTGCTGGGAGGTGAGTGTTACCTGCAGTAATTGCTGGGAGGTGAGTGTTACCTGCAGTAATTGCTGGAAGGTGAGTGTTACCTGCAGTAACTGCTGGGAGGTGAGTGTTACCTGCAGTAACTGCTGGGAGGTGAGTGTTACCTGCAGTAATTGCTGGGAGGTGAGTGTTACCTGCAGTAACTGCTGGGAGGTGAGTTTTTACCTGCAGTAACTGCTGGGAGGTGAGTGTTACCTGCAGTAATTGTGGGAGGTGAGTGTTACCTGCAGTAATGCTGGGAGGTGAGTGTTACCTGCAGTAACTGCTGGGAGGTGAGTGTTACCTGCAGTAATTGCTGGAAGGTGAGTGTTACCTGCAGTAACTGCTGGGAGGTGAGTGTTACCTGCAGTAACTGCTGGGAGGTGAGTGTTACCTGCAGTAATTGCTGGGAGGTGAGTGTTACCTGCAGTAATTGCTGGGAGGTGAGTGTTACCTGCAGTAATTGCTGGGAGGTGAGTGTTACCTGCAGTAATTGCTGGAAGGTGAGTGTTACCTGCAGTAACTGCTGGGAGGTGAGTGTTACCTGCAGTAACTGCTGGGAGGTTAGTGCTACCTGCAGTAACTGCTGGGAGGTGAGTGCTACCTGCAGTAACTGCTGGGAGGTTAGTGCTACCTGCAGTAACTGCTGGGAGGTTAGTGTTACCTGCAGTAACTGCTGGGAGGTTAGTGTTACCTGCAGTAACTGCTGGGAGGTGAGTGTTACCTGCAGTAACTGCTGGGAGGTTAGTGCTACCTGCAGTAACTGCTGGGAGGTTAGTGTTACCTGCAGTAACTGCTGGGAGGTTAGTGCTACCTGCAGTAACTGCTGGGAGGTGAGTGTTACCTGCAGTAACTGCTGGGAGGTTAGTGTACCTGCAGTAACTGCTGGGAGGTTAGTGTTACCTGCAGTAACTGCTGGGAGGTTAGTGTTACCTGCAGTAACTGCTGGGAGGTGAGTGTTACCTGCAGTAACTGCTGGGAGGTTAGTGCTACCTGCAGTAACTGCTGGGAGGTTAGTGTTACCTGCAGTAACTGCTGGGAGGTTAGTGTTACCTGCAGTACTGCTGGGGGGTGAGTGTTACCTGCAGTAACTGCTGGGAGGTTAGTGCTACCTGCAGAAAACTGCTGGGAGGTTAGTGTTACCTGCAGTAACTGCTGGGAGGTTAGTGCTACCTGCAGTAACTGCTGGGAGGTGAGTGTTACCTGCAGTAACTGCTGGGAGGTTAGTGCTACCTGCAGTAAAACTGCTGGGAGGTTAGTGTTACCTGCAGTAAACTGCTGGGAGGTGAGTGTTACCTGCAGTAACTGCTGGGAGGTGAGTGTTACCTGCAGTAACTGCTGGGAGGTGAGTGTTACCTGCAGTAACTGCTGGGAGGTGAGTGTTACCTGCAGTAACTGCTGGGAGGTGAGTGTTACCTGCAGTAACTGCTGGGAGGTGAGTGTTACCTGCAATAACTGCTGGGAGGTGAGTGTTACCTGCAATAACTGCTGGGAGGTTAGTGCTACCTGCAATAACTGCTGGGAGGTGAGTGTTACCTGCAATAACTGCTGGGAGGTGAGTGTTACCTGCAATAACTGCTGGGAGGTTAGTGCTACCTGCAAAAAACTGCTGGGAGGTGAGTGTACCTGCAATAACTGCTGGGAGGTGAGTGTTCCCTGCAATAACTGCTGGGAGGTGAGTGTTACCTGCAATAACTGCTGGGAGGTGAGTGTTACTGCAATAATGCTGGGAGTGGTGTTACCTGCAATAACTGCTGGGAGGTGAGTGTTACCTGCAATAACTGCTGGGAGGTGAGTGTTACCTGCAATAACTGCTGGGAGGTTAGTGCTACCTGCAATAACTGCTGGGAGGTGAGTGCTACCTGCAATAACTGCTGGGAGGTGAGTGTTACCTGCAATAACTGCTGGGAGGTGAGTGTTACCTGCAGTAACTGCTGGGAGGTGAGTGTTACCTGCAGAAAACTGCTGGGAGGTGAGTGTTACCTGCAGTAACTGCTGGGAGGTTAGTGTTACCTGCAGTAACTGCTGGGAGGTGAGTGTTACCTGCAGTAACTGCTGGGAGGTGAGTGTTACCTGCAGTAACTGCTGGGAGGTGAGTGCTACCTGCAATAACTGCTGGGAGGTGAGTGTTACCTGCAGTAACTGCTGGGAGGTGAGTGTTACCTGCAGTAACTGCTGGGAGGTGAGTGTTACCTGCAGTAACTGCTGGGAAGGTGAGTGTTACCTGCAGTAACTGCTGGGAGGTGAGTGCTACCTGCAATAACTGCTGGGAGGTGAGTGTTACCTGCAGTAACTGCTGGGAGGTGAGTGTTACCTGCAATAACTGCTGGGAGGTGAGTGCTACCTGCAATAACTGCTGGGAGGTGAGTGTTACCTGCAGTAACTGCTGGGAGGTGAGTGTTACCTGCAGTAACTGCTGGGAGGTGAGTGTTACCTGCAGTAACTGCTGGGAGGTGAGTGCTACCTGCAATAACTGCTGGGAGGTGAGTGTTACCTGCAGTAACTGCTGGGAGGTGAGTGTTACCTGCAGTAACTGCTGGGAGGTGAGTGTTACTGCATAACTGCTGGGAGGTGAGTTGCTACCTGCAATGAAACTGCTGGGAGGTGAGTGTTACCTGCAGTAACTGCTGGGAGGTGAGTGTTACCTGCAGTAACTGCTGGGAGGTGAGTGTTACCTGCAATAACTGCTGGGAGGTGAGTGTTACCTGCAGTAACTGCTGGGAGGTGAGTGTTACCTGCAGTAACTGCTGGGAGGTGAGTGTTACCTGCAGTAACTGCTGGGAGGTAGGGTGCGCCAGCCAATACTTGACAGCTGAAGTAACATCGAAAGTTTCCCAGACGTTGTGCTGTTCGTAGATGTCTCTCTCACACACCGTCACTTGTACTCCTCCGCTGCTTCTACTGTTGCTGCTGCTGCTGCTGCTACCACCGCCGCTGCTGCTGCTGCTGCTGCTCTCAGTGTCGCTCACTACTAGGCCTTGAGGTGTTATGTCGTCGAGGGTAATACCTCGCTCTGTTTCGATCACCAGACGAACACGGCGCTCTACACCTGTCACACACTATTTATTAACAAGTGTAAAACTCCTCAAAGAATGGCGCTGGCACTTCCGTGACAAGCAATTCCATAAAGTTACTAGCAAAAAATTTGGGATTTTTAACATCAATATGGTTACTTTACGCCTGTATTCTGTGAGAACGCTGCTTCATTCATAAGTGCCCAACCCCTGACCACTGAGTTATACCAAGTCTATCACCTGCTCTAGTCCACTAATAATAATAAGTAAATAGATGTATCCCTGTCACTAGGTGATTCAAGAAAGGTATCCCAGGATTGCATGACCATAGCCTCCTGAACCTCAATGCATGTGAAAAGAAGTATAATGCAGCAGTTTCTCATGCAGTTAAATATTAGCAGTAAACATATGAAGGAATGACAACAGGTATTTACAAGATATCACATGGCCAGTAATATCCTTAGTTTCTTCAATAAAAATGGCAAATTAAGACATGTGCAGACCAAAACTAATTCGAACTACTCGTTAAGAAACACCAGGTTTGTAACTAGTCTGACGAGGCATTCTCTTGTTAGCTCACGAAGACCATTATCCTAAAATACGTGCGCACATTAAGTTTAAAGACATTTAGAATATACATTACCAGTCAGCGCTGATGGATGACGCCAATCAGATAAGGAACTCAGAATTGATTGCATGAAAATAAATATGGTTTCATAAGTAATAAGTATATCAAACCATACCACGGGCGGGGTTAGAACCCGCGATCAGAGTCTCAAAACTCCAGACCATCGAGTTAGCCACTGGACCAGCTAGTTTCAATGAGATTCGTCCAACTAGGTATATTTCTTCACCATAGAAAGGTTAGCATAGGCACCACTGTGTCCACAAATGCAAGTTTTTACAGACAAATCTCCAGCTAGCGTGGCCGTGACGAACTCTAGCTCAAGTTCCTTCAAAGCGTCAACATGACTCACAAAATCGTAATGATAACATTGCAAACAAGCCATACCACGGGTGGGGTTTAAACTTGCATTTGTGGACACACACACACACACACACACACACACACACACACACACACACACACACACACACACACACACACACACACACACACACATAAATGTGTGTGTCCGTATTGCAGTGGCTCTGCGTCTTGCTGCCCCAATTCACACAGAATATACGTGTATTTGCAGCGAAGCGCAAGCAGACCAATACGGTCTACATGGTCTTAACTGTTCCAAAACCAAGTTCTGGCATGCAAGGCACAATGAAGTCAACTACATCATAAAGAGAACCCTTGCTACAACTGGATGCCCAGCCGAGAGGGAGCCCCGATCGCTAGCAGCCAACAATACCCACAACCCAGCAAACCGCCCCGACGGGATCACCATCTATCCTTGGAAGAATGGCAAGCTCTTAGCATGGGACTATACCTGTGTGTCCACACTGGCTGACACCTATATCCATCACAGTGTGGGGCGACAGGGAGGAGCTGCTGACCACAGGGAGGAGTACAAGATCAGCAAGTACAGGGACATAAGCCAACAGTATCAATTTGTCCCAGTGAGATCAGAGACCTTGAGATCATGGGGAAAAATGCCACACGTTTCCCACACGTTGCCTTTTGAAAATCAAATGGATAATTAAAATCTCTCACATGAATAAATAAAGCATTAGTATCTTGTCCAGTTCTAATGCTATATTTATGTTGTTTTAACCTTAATTCGAGACTTTTACCAGTTTGACCATAATAAACTTTATCACATATTTAACAAGGAATCTTATAGACACATCCGTCAGCAAGGAAATGGTTTATATCTACATTCTTAAGCATAAGACATAAAATACCATCAACATATCTATACAACTTAGCTCTATTAGGAAGGATTGTGTTAAGCAATCTTGATTAAAAAAAATCATGTGTAAGTTACTAAGAACAGGTGAGGGAGGATTTCCCATCGCCATACCAAACTTCTGAATGTAACACTCGCCATTAAACAAAAACTTTGCATCAATAATACAAAGTTTTTATGAGTTTAATGATAGTAAGAACTGGAAATGGAAATCGTAATTAACAAGTTCTTCAAATAGGATACTTAAAAAATCACCATCTGGAACTTTTATAAACAACGAAGTAACATTAAAACTAACCATAGTGAAATCATTAACGCTAGAAATTTTTCCAACACTTGGGCTCAAAATATCTACTAGCCACTTAGATCATTTATAGGAAACTGAATCTATGGAGCTAATAATTGGTCTGACTGGATCACCTGGTTTGAGCATTTATTTATTTATTATTTATTTATTAATAAAAAATGCACAAACTGGTAATCCTGTTAGACCAATCATTAGTTCCATAGGCTCAGTTTCCCATAAATTATCTAAATGGCTAGTAGATATTTTGAGCCCAATTGTTTGAAAAAAATCTAACTTTAATGTTAAAAACAACATTGATTTAATGGATAAATTAAGCACATTGACTGACTTAAATAATTTCACCATGGTTAGTTTTGACGTTACTTCCTTGCTTACAAACGTTCCTGTTGATAATCTATTAGTTTCTTATCTGAAGAGTTTGTTAATTACGATTTACCATTGCCAGTTCCTTCTGTCATTAAATTTATTAAATTTGGTATTATTGATGCAAAATTTGTGTTTAATGACGAGTTTTACACTCAGAGGTTTGGTATGGCGATGGGAAATCCTCTCTCACCTGTTCTTAGTAATTTATACATGGATTTTTTTCTGCTTTGTATTGGACTGATGAAGCCACTGTGTGGCGAAACGTTTCCTCAATAAAAATACCCTCAGTGTTACACGTCACTCCCTGACGTGACCTCTTGTCCATTGACGCTATTCAGTGCTGGTATCAGATAGTGTGTCGTCCGAGTACCCTGTACATAGAAAATCTATGCTCATCACTTCTCACTGATGTCCCGTCATCTGAGTTGCCTATCCTATGACTCACACACGTAGAACTGTTCTCTGGCAACTATCGCCTACCATTACCGCTGAAGGCATCTTCGCCTGAGTTGTTCTTACGATTCAGTCTCTCGCCGGCACCATTTAAGTCGTACTCGCTAGAGTCAACCCCTCCGCGACTGCCTTGCGACACAGTCCCAGTCATGAGCTCTCCTGAAGAGTCATAGAGTCTGCAGTCCTGTTCAGTACACTAGTTCTCACGACGCTTCCCTCACTGGTACCCCCAGGCTCAGTGAATCCTGCTACGTAGCTCAGCCGCAGCGATGCCTCCAGACGTGTTGCACGGTTTGTGAGCCAGTCTAGGATGGCGTATCGCCTGCAAGAGTTCCTGTGTGCAGTGACGCCCTGCCATGGCAATGGCTGTTTTTGTCGCCATTTTTTTTAAACACACTCCTCTTTTTTTCTTCCCTCCCTATTAGGAAGTTTTTTTTTGTTGTTGTTGTTTGTTTGATGTATACATATATTTTGCATTTCATGCTAGAGCCCTGTTCCTACAAGAGAGTTTTAGTCAGTCACTTATCATGGTCAGGATGACTATGGGTAGTATGCCCAAACGATATAACTTGGATTTATATTTCATGCTTGTTGGCAAAGTCTAACTTGAGTTCACTCCACAACAGCTTCTAGTTAACTATAGCGCCAGACAAGGTAACAGCAAGTCCTGCCTCTCGCACTCTCCCCCGTCAGGTCGTGGGCCTGGCAAGGCAGAGCATAGAACATACTGCCTCTACCATTACCCAGTAAACCCAAAGCTCGTTTCTTACCAGAGAAATCACAATGATATATCTAGTGACAATCGTGTCCAGAATTAATACCGTTATAAACTATACCAGTCACGTTTTAGAGGCACAGGGAACTGCGGTTAAGGAATACGGGGATATCTTTCTTGGACTGCGCTGTGACCGAAATATATCTACCTACTGTTGAAGTTACAAAAGAAAATCTTGCATAATATTATTATATTGTAGAGGAACACTACCTTACAACGGGACTTCTCAAACTTAAACTTGTTCAATACTTAAGAGTTCATTTAAACTCGACACAACTAAAAACGCTATAAAATCATGAGTTTTCAGTATTTCTGTTTAAAATGATCTACTCGACTCAAAGAATAACATTTGATTTTGTGTTCTTTAAAAAAGTTTAAAATGGTAAAATAATGAATAAAAATGGCAAAGCGACACATTATAAAGCCAAATTCGGCAAAGTAGATTACATAGTCATTAATTTATTGACTTTATAGTTTGAAATGGTACAAATAGATCGTTGCAGTCCATCTACAAACTGTAAGTATGATACCAGTCAAAAGTACTTTCTCTCTCGAGTCGAACTTAAGCATCGTACATGAGGTCAGTTACCATGTACGGCGGAAACTTAAGTGTTATCCATGACATGTTAGTTCACCATCAGTAAATTGAGTCCTGTTTATGAGACTCGGTGGGTTAAACATGGGACATGATCCTATAGAACATGAAATCACTCGTATAAAAGAACTTTGTATATAGTAGTATGTCTGATGTCAGTCTATGGTACGTAACTATTTACGAATGTACTGTATAACATGACAGTCGGTATACATGTAAATGTCACTGTAAATGGTTATGTATTCCATTGTACATGTACTGGTATAAAATGTCATTACTGGTATAACCATGTACATGTATGTATAAACATGTACATGTAATTGGTATAACATGTACATGTACTGGTATAACATGTACATGACTGATAACATGTACATGTAATGGTATACCATGTACATGTACTGGTATAACATGTACATTACTGGTATAACATGTACATGTACTGGTATACCATGTACATGTACTGGTATACATGTACATGTACTGGATACCATGTACATTACTGGTATACCATGTACATGTACTGGTATACCATGTACATGTACTGGTATAACATGTACATGTACTGGTATAACATGTACATGTACTGGTATACCATGTACATGTACTGGTATAACATGTACATGTACTGGTATAACATGTACATGTACTGGTATACATGTACATGTACCATGTACATGTACTGTACATGTACAACTGGTATAACATGTACATGTACTGGTATACCATGTACATGTACTGGTAAAACCATGTACATGTACTGGATATACCATGTACATGTACTGGTATAACATGTACATGTACTGGTATACCATGTACATGTACTGGTATAACATGTACATGTACTGGTATAACCATGTACATGTACTGTATGTATACACATGTACATGTACTGGTATACCATGTACATGTACTGGTATAACATGTACATGTACTGGTATAACATGTACATGTACTGGTATAACATGTACATGTACTGGTATAACATGTACATGTACTGGTATAACATGTACATGTACTGGTATAACATGTACATGTACTGGTATAAACATGTACATGTACTGGTATAACATGTACATGTAATGGTATACCATGTACATGTACTGGTATAACATGTACATGTACTGGTATACCATGTACATGTACTGGTATACCATGTACATGTACTGGTATACCATGTACATGTACTGGTATACCATGTACATGTACTGGTATACCATGTACATGTACTGGTATAACATGTACATGTACTGGTATAACATGTACATGTACTGGTATAACATGTACATGTAATGGTATACCATGTACATGTACTGGTATAACATGTACATGTAATGGTATACCATGTACATGTACTGGTATAACATGTACATGTACATGGTATACCATGTACATGTACTGTATACATGTACATGTACATGGTATACCATGTACATGTACTGGTATAACCATGTACATGTACTGGTATAACCATGTACATGTACTGGTATACCATGTACATGTACTGGTATAACATGTACATGTAATGGTATACCATGTACATGTACTGTATACCATGTACATGAAACTGGTATACCATGTACATGTACTGGTATAACATGTACATGTAATGGTATACCATGTACATGTACTGGTATAACATGTACATGTATGGTATACCATGTACATGTACTGTATAACATGTACATGTAATGGTATACCATGTACATGTACTGGTATAACCATGTACATGTATGGTATACCATGTACATGTACTGGTATAACCATGTACATGTAATGGTATACCATGTACATGTACTGGTATAACATGTACATGAAACTGGTATACCATGTACATGTACTGGTATACATGTACATTACTAGTATACATGTACATGTATGGTATACCATGTACATGTACTGTATACCATGTACATGTACTGGTATACCATGTACATGTACTGGTATAACATGTACATGTACTGGTATACCATGTACATGTACTGGTTATACCATGTACATGTAACTGGTATACCATGTACATGTACTGGTATACACATGTATACATGTACTGGTATAGCTATACATGTACATGTACTGGTATACCATGTACATGTACTGGTATACCATGTACATGTACTGGTATACCATGTACATGTACTGGTATACCATGTACATGTACTGGTATACCATGTACATGTACTGGTATACCATGTACATGTACTGGTATACCATGTACATGTACTGGTATACCATGTACATGTACTGGTATACCATGTACATGTACTGGTATACCATGTACATGTACTGGTATACCATGTACATGTACTGGTATACCATGTACATGTACTGGTATACCATGTACATGTACTGGTATCATTACCATGTGTACATGTACTGTATATACCATGTACATGTACTGGTATACCATGTACATGTACTGGTATACCATGTACATGGGTACTTTATGGTATACCATGTACATGTACTGGTATACCATGTACATGTACTGGTATACCATGTACATTACTGTAACCATGTACATTACTGGTTACATGTACTGTATGATACCATGTACATGTACTGGTATACCATGTACATGTACTGGTATAACCATGTACATGTACTGGTTATAACCATGTACATGTACTGGTATAACATGTACATGTTATACTGTGTATACCATGTACATGTACTGGTAAAACATGTACATGTACTGGTATAACATGTACATGTACTGGTATACCATGTACATGTACTGGTATACCATGTACATGTACTGGTATACCATGTACATGTACTGGTATACCATGTACATGTACTGGTATACCATGTACATGTACTGGTAACATGTACATGTACTGGTATACCATGTACATGTACTGGTATACCATGTACATGTACTGGTATACCATGTACATGTACTGGTTATACCATGTACATGTACTGGTATACCATGTACATGTACTGGTATACCATGTACATGTACTGGTATACCATGTACATGTACTGGTATACCATGTACATGTACTGGTATACCATGTACATGTACTGGTATACCATGATACATGTACTGGTATACCATGTACATGTACTGGATACCATGTACATGTACTGGTATACCATGTACATGTACTGGTATACCATGTACATGTACTGGTATAACATGTACATGTACTGGTATAACATGTACATGTACTGGTATACCATGTACATGTACTGGTATAACATGTACATGTACTGGTATAACATGTACATGTACTGGTATACCATGTACATGTACTGGTATAACATGTACATGTACTGGTATAACATGTACATGTACTGGTATAACATGTACATGTACTGGTATAACATGTACATGTACTGGTATAACATGTACATGTACTGGTATACCATGTACATGTACTGGTATAACATGTACATGTACTGGTATAACATGTACATGTACTGGTATAACATGTACATGTACTGGTATAACATGTACATGTACTGGTGTACCATGTACATGTACTGGTATACCATGTACATGTACTGGTATAACATGTACATGTACTGGTATAACATGTACATGTACTGGTATACCATGTACATGTACTGGTATACCATGTACATGCACTGGTATACCATGTACATGTACTGGTATACCATGTACATGTACTGGTATACCATGTACATGCACTGGTATACCATGTGCATGTACTGGTAGTAAATAAAGAAATTATTATTATTATAAATTCTCCAAATCCAATGATTCCAGTTATCTTTTTTTTTTATCAATTTCATTACAATTCGCAAGTAAACAATGTACCAGTTGTGTTACGTCTCAGAGACGCAAGATATTTTAAGCCAATAAGAAAGATAAATGAAAATCAATATCAATATTTAGCTTATGGTGCCCAATAACATTGCAAACTTTGCTTACTGGAAAATACACCAGGGCTAAAAATTTCAAGCCGATCAGAAGAGGCATTCTCCAGTTAGAAATATTCAGTCCACTGACGAATTTGCTCACGCAGGAATTAAACTTCATGGCCATTATCCTGGCCATAAGATACACCAGTCATTAAATATTAAAGCCATGCAATGCAGAAGAGATAGTTTTATAATATATATCAAAGGAAAAGTTTTTTTTTTTTTTTTTTTTGCACTGTTTTACACATAATTGTCAGTTGTGCTGACACACTTGCAAATGCTAATTGTTCCTGGAATCTTGTCCTAGTTACTGTACACACACCAGCGTTGAAAATTTGAAGCCGATCAGATAAGACATCCTCTTGCTATGAGAGAAACAAAAGCGACATATGGAGAAAGAAAACGAGAGGACAAAATAGGCAGCCACATTACGATTCCCCTTCGGAGGCACTTGAAGAGGATCCCACATAAACAAAAGCTACAGTTACAAACGTTTTTAAGTTATATGGACAAAAAAAAAAGGAATTCAACATGTACGGGAAGAAAAACTAACAACGTACTTAAAATGAGGGAGTTATTTGTAAGATTGTTAAGAGAAGTTAACTGCTGAGTATGCAATAACGAGAGAATGGTAATATCATGCACAAGAGAGGATGGTAATGTCATGCACAAGAGAGGATGGTAATGTCGTGCACAAGAGAGGATGGTAATGTCATGCACAAGAGAGGATGGTAATATCATGCACAAGAAAGGACGGTAATATCATGCACAAAAGAGGATGGTAATATCATGCACAAGAGAGGACGGTAATATCATGCACAAGAGAGGATGGTAATGTCATGCACAAAAGAGGATGGTAATATCATGCACAAGAGAGGATGGTAATGTCATGCACAAAAGAGGATGGTAATATCATGCACAAGAGAGGACGGTAATATCATGCACAAGAGAGGATGGTAATATCATGCACAAGAGAGGATGGTAATGTCATGCACAAAAGAGGACGGTAATATCATGCACAATAGGTCATACTAGGCAGTAATGTCAATAATACGAAGCTTAGAGAGAGAGAGTTTAACTCACCTATATAAGCGTACTGGTCGCGGGTGATAAGTGCGTAGAGTCTGAGCGTAGCTGCAGTGACACGCTCACGACGGGGTATCGTAACATTGAACGCCAGAGTGTGTGAACGCACTCCATGACCTGCGCTGCCTTCTCTCTCACCCGACGATCCCTCACCTCTTCTCTCAGTCGAGTCTGTAACCAAGAAAAAATATATAGAACTCAGAAGTTTGGTGATAATTTTTTTCAAGACGTCAGTAGCAAGTTACTGATGTCTCTTGTGCAAATGTAAGTCTTATTTTTTTTTTATACATATAATACAAATAAAAAAAAACACATTTGCAAAAAAAAAAAAAAAAAAAAACTTACATTAAATATGTGTTCTTGATCATGTCTCAGACAACCTTCCAGTCTCATTGATCATGTCTCAGACAACCTTCCAGTCTCATTGATCATGTCTCAGACAACCTTCCAGTCTTATTGATCATGTCTCAGACAACCTTCCAGTCTTATTGATCATGTCTCAGACAACCTTCCAGTCTATGATCATGTCCAGACAACCTTCCAGTCTTATTGATCATGTCTCAGACAACCTTCCAGTCTTATTGATCATGTCTCAGACAACCTTCCAGTCTCACTGATCATGTCCCAGACAACCTTCCAGTCTTATTGATCATGTCCCAGACAACCTTCCAGTCTCATTGATCATGTCTCAGACAACCTTCCAGTCTCATTGATCATGTCTCAGACAACCTTCCAGTCTCACTGATCATGTCCCAGACAACCTTCCAGTCTCATTGATCATGTCTCAGACAACCTTCCAGTCTTATTGATCATGTCTCAGACAACCTTCCAGTCTACTGATCATGTCCCAGACAAACCTTCCAGTCTCATTGATCATGTCTCAGACAACCTTCCAGTCTTATTGATCATGTCTCAGACAACCTTCCAGTCTCACTGATCATGTCCCAGACAACCTTCCAGTCTTATTGATCATGTCTCAGACAACCTTCCAGTCTTATTGATCATGTCTCAGACAACCTTCCAGTCTCACTGATCATGTCCCAGACAACCTTCCAGTCTTATTGATCATGTCTCAGACAACCTTCCAGTCTTATTGATCATGTCCCAGACAACCTTCCAGTCTTATTGATCATGTCCCAGACAACCTTCCAGTCTTATTGATCATGTCCCAGACAACCTTCCAGTCTTATTGATCATGTCTCAGACAACCTTCCAGTCTTATTGATCATGTCCCAGACAACCTTCCAGTCTTATTGATCATGTCTCAGACAACCTTCCAGTCTTATTGATCATGTCTCAGACAACCTTCCAGTCTTATTGATCATGTCTCAGACAACCTTCCAGTCTTATTGATCATGTCTCAGACATCCTCCCCGTATTATTCATCATGTCACAGACAACCTCCCCGTATTATTCATCATGTCTCAGACAACCTTCATGTTTTATTGATCATGTCTCAGACAACCTCCCCGTATTATTGATCATGTCTCAGACAACCTCCCCGTATTATTCATCATGTCTCAGACAACCTTCATGTTTTATTGATCATGTCTCAGACAACCTCCTCGTATTATTGATCATGTCTCAGACAACCTCCCCGTATTATTGATCATGTCTCAGACAACCTCCCCGTATTATTGATCATGTCTCAGACAACCTCCCCGTATTATTGATCATGTCACAGACAACCTCCCCGTATTATTCATCATGTCTCAGACAACCTTCATGTTTTATTGATCATGTCTCAGACAACCTCCTCGTATTATTGATCATGTCTCAGACAACCTCCCCGTATTATTGAGCATATCTCAAACAACCTCCCCGTATTATTGATCATGTCTCAGTCAACCTCCCCGTATTATTGATCATGTCTCAGACAACCTCCCCGTATTATTGATCATGTCTCAGACAACCTCCCCGTATTATTGATCATGTCTCAGACAACCTCCACGTATTACTGATCATGTCTCAGACAACCTCCCCGTATTATTGATCATGTCTCAGAGTACCTCCCCGTATTATTGATCATGTCTCAGACAACCTCCACGTATTACTGATCATGTCTCAGACAACCTTCCCATATTATTGATCATGTCTCAGACAACCTCCCCGTATTATTGATCATGTCTCAGAGTACCTCCCCGTATTAGTGATCATGTCTCAGACAACCATCCCGTATTATTGATCATGTCTCAGACTACCTCCAGGTATTATTGATCATGTCTCAGACAGCCTCCCCGTATTATTGATCATGTCTCAGACAACTTTCCCGTATTATTGATCATGTCTCAGACAGCCTTCCCGTATTATTGATCATGACTCAGACAACCTCCCCATATTATTGATCATGTCTCAGACAACCTCCCCGTATTATTATTGATCATGACTCAGACAACCTCCCCATATTATTGATCATGTCTCAGACAACCTCCATGTAATATTGATCATGTTTCAGACAGCCTTCCCGTATTATTGATCATGTCTCAGACAACCTCCCTGTATTATTGGTCATGTCTCAGACAACCTCCTCGTATTATTGATCATGTCTCAGACAACCTCCCCGTATTATTGATCATGTCTCAGACTACCTCCCCGTATTATTGATCATGTCTCAGACAACCTCCTCGTATTATTGATCATGTCTCAGACAATCTCCCCGTATTATTGAGCATATCTCAAACAACCTCCCCGTATTATTGATCATGTCTCAGTCAACCTCCCCGTATTATTGATCATGTCTCAGACAACCTCCCCGTATTATTGATCATGTCTCAGACAACCTCCACGTATTATTGATCATGTCTCAGACAACCTTCCCATATCATTGATCATGTCTCAGACAACCTCCCCGTATTATTGATCATGTCTCAGAGTACCTCCCCGTATTATTGATCATGTCTCAGACAACCTTCCCGTATTATTGATCAGGTCTCAGACTACCTCCCCGTATTATTGATCATGTCTCAGACAGCCTCCCCGTGTTATTGATCATGTCTCAGACAACTTTCCCGTATTATTGATAATGTTTGAGACAGCCTTCCCGTATTATTGATCATGACTCAGTCAACCTCCCCATATTATTGATCATGTCTCAGACAACCTCCCCGTATTATTGATCATGACTCAGACAACCCCCCCATATTATTGATCATGTCTCAGACAACCTCCCCGTATTATTGATCATGTCTCAGACAACCTCCCCGTATTATTGATCATGTCTCAGACAACCTCCACGTATTACCTGGAGTTTACCTGGAGAGAGTTTCGGGGGTCAACGCCCCCGCGGCCCGGTCTGTGACCAGGCCTCCTGGTGGATCAGCGCCTGATCAACCAGGCTGTTGCTGCTGGCTGCACGCAAACCAACGTACGAGCCACAGCCCGGCTGATCAGGAACTGACTTTAGGTGCTTGTCCAGTGCCAGCTTTAAGACTGCCAGGGGTCTGTTGGTAATCCCCCTTATGTGTGCTGGGAGGCAGTTGAACAGTCTCATGCCCCTGACACTTATTGTATGGTCTCAGACATGATCATGTCTCAGACAACCTTCCCGTATTATTGATCATGTCTCAGACAACCTTCCCATATTATTGATCATGTCTCAGACAACCTCCCCGTATTATTGATCATGTCTCAGAGTACCTCCCCGTATTATTGATCATGTCTCAGACAACCTTCCCGTATTATTGATCATGTCTCAGACTACCTCCCCGTATTATTGATCATGTCTCAGACAGCCTCCCCGTATTATTGATCATGTCTCGGACAACTTTCCCGTATTATTGATCATGTCTCAGACAGCCTTCCCGTATTATTGATCATGACTCAGACAACCTCCCCATATTATTGATCATGTCTCAGACAACCTCCCCGTATTATTGATCATGACTCAGACAACCTCCCCATATTATTGATCATGTCTCAGACAACCTCCATGTAATATTGATCATGTTTCAGACAGCCTTCCCGTATTATTGATCATGTCTCAGACAACCTCCCCGTATTATTGGTCATGTCTCAGACAACCTCCTCGCATTATTGATCATGTCTCAGACAACCTCCCCGTATTATTGATCATGTCTCAGACTACCTACCCGTATTATTGATCATGTCTCAGACAACCTCCTCGTATTATTGATCATGTCTCAGACAATCTCCCCGTATTATTGAGCATATCTCAAACAACCTCCCCGTATTATTGATCATGTCTCAGTCAACCTCCCCGTATTATTGATCATGTCTCAGACAACCTCCCCGTATTATTGATCATGTCTCAGACAACCTCCACGTATTATTGGTCATGTCTCAGACAACCTCCCCGTATTATTGATCATGTCTCAGACAACCTCCACGTATTATTGATCATGACTCAGACAACCTCCCCATATTATTGATCATGTCTCAGACAACCTCCCCGTATTATTGATCATGTCTCAGAATACCTCCCCGTATTATTGATCATGTCTCAGACAACCTTCCCGTATTATTGATCATGTCTCGGACTACCTCCCCGTATTATTGATCATGTCTCAAACAGCCTCCCCGTATTATTGATCATGTCTCAGACAACTTTCCCGTATTATTGATCATATCTCAGACAGCCTTCCCGTATTATTGGTCATGTCTCAGACAACCTCCCCGTATTATTGATCATGTTTCAGTCAACCTCCCCGTATTATTGATCATGTCTCAGACAACCTCCCCGTATTATTGATCATGACTCAGACAACCTCCCTATATTATTGATCATGTCTCAGACAACCTCCCCGTATTATTGATCATGTCTCAGAGTACCTCCCCGTATTATTGATCATGTCTCAGACAACCTTCCCGTATTATTAATCATGTCTCAGACTACCTCCCCGTATTATTGTTCATGTCTCAAACAGCCTCCACGTATTATTGATCATGTCTCAGACAACTTTCCCGTATTATTGATCATATCTCAGACAGCCTTCCCGTATTATTGGTCATGTCTCAGACAACCTCCCCGTATTATTGATCATGTTTCACACAACCTCCCCGTATTATTGATCATGTCTCAGACAACCTCCCCGTATTATTGATCATGTCTCAGACAACCTCCTCGTATTATTGATCATGTCTCAGACTACCTCCCCGTATTATTGATCATGTCTCAGACAACCTCCCCGTATTATTGATCATGTCTCAGACTA